AATGCCTTATATATATGCGTGTATATATATATGTGTGTATATTATACTGGCCGACAGTCGCAGAGCACGTATGCAGGAGAAAGCCGTGCGTGCGTGTGTATATTTACTATTTCCCTCTTTTCTCCCTCGATTAGTCTTTCGCTCCCTAGATCGTTATTAGCGTTGGACTAAATGAACGCAACGGTGTGTGTAAGTACTTTTTTTACGCGAGAATAAGAGCGCGCCAATGGGCGTGGAATATATATGTGTACGAGAGCGATTCTGCGGATTATAATATACGTGTGTATATGCACAAGAGAAAGCGCTCGCCGGTCATTTTTCTCTGGCCATTTTTTTTTCTTCCGTTTTTCCAACGCATGCTCTCTCTCTTTCTCTATGTGTGCGTGTATGTCCCTTCTCCGGGTATCTTTGGTTTGAGTTGAAGGTACGATATAATTAGAGGCTCCGAACTCGATTTAGCTTTTTTTTTATTTTCACTGCGAAGTAATATACTCTGCGCCTTTAGGAGTACATACCGATCTGCCAATTTTGTTTTACATGTACTTCCGCGCAAACGAAACTTTGTTGTATATGTACACTTTTCGACGGGTATATTTGTTGTTTTTTGATGAATCGCACGTTTTTTACCTATTTTAGAAAAAATATTGAAAAAGTAGTAGACCCGCGCCATAAGATACTCCAAAATAAATGTCCTCGTAGAGCAGCGGCAGCAATTAAGGCACTCGCGCAAATTTAAATTAAACAACTGTACTTACGATAAAAAATTTTTAAAAAAAACACTGTAAAATAAAAAAAGAAAAAAAGGCACTGGGGTGTTTCGAGTACGTGCGCGCTGATGGAGAAAGCGAGTTTACGGGATAAACGAGTGCTCGCGCTCGGGACCGGCGCGCTACACTGTCGGACTCTGTATCGTCGTCCACCGCCTCTATGGCTTGTATTATGCGCGCATGCCACAGAGGAGGGGCCTCCCCACTGTGCCCCACTCCGCGTACGTGCGATTTACTCCATATACACGTCGTATCAATCGGCGATTTTTCTTTCGATCGCCGTTGTTACAAAAAGTCCTGAATATCGAGGACGACACGAAGATGGTAAACCGTTTGCTCTATATTTAAAACCGATCCTACAGTATTGGGATGACGAGAAAAAAAATACCGATTTTTTGATTCGCGGAGAAAGTATGGCGCTCGTTACCGGTTGATACGTATATCTGTACGCGAAAGGCCCGCAACTTTCAATGAAATCGCTTGCGCAATTGTCATCATATTTCGAACTATTTCGAATCAAGGTAAACTCTTATTAAATTTCTAATGCTCATTCGTGGCTTGTACATCGGTATAAGAGAGCGGAGAAAAAAAAAAGTATATGCAAGTTGAGCAACAATCAAATGGATGATTATTACCGATCGGAGGGACTTAATTAATTTAAACGAAGCTACATGCAGGCCGACGTACGGCTCGGATTTGTTAAGTAAGAATCGTTAACTGTGTGTAACTACGAGTACCGAGGCTAAATTTTTCAGTCATGCATTAAAATTAATCGAATCGGCGATTAACGTACGTGATTAATTTAGTTGCTTTGGTTTTCAATCGATCAATTTTCAAAGACACGTATGGACGGTCTTGTCGATTTTGTGAAAAGAAATTTTCCTCCTATATGCAGCTGCACAGGTTAAATCGATCGACACTTGAAGAAACGCAGTGGATATTGTACGATGATACGAACCAACGAGGCGGAGAAATTTGATTCCGCGACTCTGATTACGTCCGAACGGAAAACAATTTCAAATGCACCTTTGTAACGATAGTGAAAGTACACCCACTTCCGTACTTATTTGCCTCCGCGACAGAAATCGCTCATCTTTCGGCACCCTCCAAAAAAATAAAGACGAAAAATCCTCTCGTGAGCGATTTGGTATACATGTAAACCCGAGTCCTACTCTTAATTGGGGTTTTTGCCTGTGGCATTCCACCCGCCAATTGATCCCGGTATTGCCCGTTCGTTTTGCAAAGTGGCGTCGTCATCATGTCAACCACGGCATTTCGAGCACGTGCTGCGACTATTCGCGGCTTGTGTGGTTGGGCAAAAAGCTAGGGCACATGTATACATAATGCGCAGTTGGATAATTTACGTATCGAGTGATATCTTGCGCCGCTCTCCCGACAACCGGTTGCCGATCGAGAGACCCGCTCTCCGATTTTCGTTTCGGGAATATATGGAATAATATATACGGTACTGTTGCGCAATAATATATACACCGTGTAAGGACACGATTTGCATGATATAATATTATACGTTGGTCCTTTTCAATGAAACTAGTGTCGATGCAGACGTGACGTAAAAAGAAAAAAAAAAAAAAAAAAATTTTTGACCTTATATACAATACCAACTGATGTATTTTTCAAACCAACGCCAACAATCAGTGCATATACTCTTTTGAATCTTCTCTGCAGATGCGTACGTTCCGAAAAGGCAGCGATACAATGGTACCGATCATCGGTGCACGCTTGTGTCCATACATTTATGCGCGAGGGGACAAAACAAGTGCGAGTGCAAAAAGTCACGCTGGAAAAAAGCGCGTCGAATCGGTATGCGGAGCAACGCAAGTAAAATGAAAAATGAATAAAAGCGGCGAACCGAGTCGAGCGCGTAATACGTGTGTCGCTCGTCCTGTTGAACTATTTAATTTTTGAAAATATATGAGATTCACGCGTATCTACTTGTGGCTGTACGCTCGGCCTAGATAAATTTATCGGCAGCATATGGAGTCCGGTTCGAGAGAAAAGTGCGCGAGTGATCGAGGAACGATCATCGAAGGACATACTTGCATGTACCTGTACTATTACAGTCCGCCTGCGTTCTTTCACTTCTGTCGTTGAAAGTGTGCGTGTATGTACAATGGACACTTTGCACTTGGCGCACTCATATACATATAATATACATATGCACAAGTATGTTATAAGAATCGGCTGGTTTTACAATGAAGAGTGACCTTACGCGCGAGTATACATGTAATTTTTCTTCTCCATTCCGCCGCATTGTATGGCATCTGTACGGCATAGTGGTCATGTTGTAATACAACACTCGTTTTGATTCAACGATCGGTTGTTATTCCTTGCAGGGTAGCTCGTTTTACGAACGTGCGTTTTGAAATCAGTCGAGTTCCTTTTTTCATCCTCTTCCTATTCTTTTTCTTCTTCTTCGACAACAAAGAAGGTGCACGGACATTTTCATCGCGATCGGTGACAAGAAGGTCTATCAAATATTTAAAATAGCGCCTTCTACGTTTTTTAGATGAATAAGAAAGAAAAGGTTAAAAATAGCTCAAATCGGGAAACAATAAGCGCGAGCCTTGTAAAATGCATCAGCTTTGATTTGTACAATTATCGAAGGAAGGAAAAAAAAAAACCGCAGCCAGTTTGCGTTTTTACGCTGTGTAGTAAAAATAACGCGTTATTAGCTCACAACAAACTGTACCGGGTAATATGTTTGTATATGTATAATAAATATACAATGCACGCATAACTTTACGTAATAGATTGTAACATATATACAAGGCACAAGGGTAATTAGAAAGTGTAAGGAAAAAAACAACAACTACCTCATTCGCTTAGTGAGCAAAATCATCAATGTGGAGTGCGCATTTGAATAACTTTGCAAAAAAATGTCGATAAAATTCACCAAACTTTGGTGAAAGTCAATTTTTTTTTTTCCTCTTTAGCTTTCAAACCCATTTAGACATTGTAATACGTGCGTTACACGTTACATGTACAGTCAAATTGAAGAAACAATATTGCAATAGAGCAAAACTACGATTTACGTGATTTTGCACAATCGTCGTCTCCTACATGGGCAAGTTGATAATATAACGAGCCGCAAAGGAAAGAAAAAAAACAACCATTGGTGAAAATAACCGAGAGCGTAAAAACATCCAGGTACACGTACGGTAGCCTTGTTTCTGCACTCGCTCGTGTGTGCTCGCGAATTATAACGATCGACTTGCCGATCAAAGCAGGTAGTCTCCTTTTCGAACGTGCAGCGACGTTTACAGTCAAGCGAGCGTAAAATGATCGGCCGGTGAAAAGCTTGGCTCGGAGCCAGCTTTGAGTACGTACGTGGCGTTAAAAGTCGTTTTTCAAGCGCATGATTTACCGCGGTTGGCTTTCAATTACCGTTTGTATACATTGTTGCGGATGGAAACAACGCGCGCTCTCTACCGTTTAAAATGTAGTGACTATGATTATAAATACTTGCGATTTTGGATAAGACTTTGCACTTTTCAAAAGAAATTTTTTAATAATTCTATTAACGTGTATAGTTATTTTCTTATTCCGAGCAACTGCTGCCCCTACACGTGGAGTAAAGCATCGTCGATGCCAGAGAAACTGTGGAAAAGAAAACTAGACGCTCGCAAAGCCCTCGGGCAAAGAGCCCAAATTTCAGCAAAGCCATACGTTAATCGAATCGGGATCTGAAAAAAACCGAGCAAAGGTATTTGTATGTATACCTATACGTAAACACTTGGCGATATAATTACCCATTTGGCTGCGCAACCGGTCGGTAGTCGGCATTTTAAACGGCAACGGGGAAAAAAGAAACGTTGCACAAACCTACAGATGACAGGCATACCCTGAATATATTCCTAAACACGTCCTCTTGACTCTTGAACTGTTATACCTGTACATACATCGTTTATAAAATTGACCTCATTTTTCTTAAATTATCGTCACCTATTTCAAGACCAAGTATAGCTATACATGCATTTATATCTTCTACAGCCGATTTTTTTTTGTGTCTCTTTCAAGGTATAGATGTATAGAGATCGTTAAACGGAAATTCTCATTTTGCGATAAAAGGACATCAACAAGTTCCCAGATCTCTGGATGAAATACTTTATAGGTAACATGTATCATGTACGTGTAAAGAAAGGTGTGTGGGTATATTATACATATTATATATAAAAAGACGAGTGGATTGTTTATTCCACAAAAGACTTACCGTTAAATTGAGAGTATACGTGTCGCTTAGGTATGTTCATCTATACATCGCACGCGTACTATTTTATGGGGTATTTTTTTTTAAACTTGTCTCTGTAGACAGTGTCTCGGGTGTCGTTAAACTTTTGCTGGTGGAAGAAAAAAAATTAACCACTGCTCTGAAACTCTGCCTCTGAATATATACATGCATCTTACCGATCGGGTGACCGGTATGACCAAAAGACGTGCGTCAGTTTAATGACTCGATCGGTTACATCTGTTGCAGCTATTGCGTGAGTAATAAAAATGCTAGGAATGTCATCTGTGACGATATAGAAATGGGAGCGCGATCGCCGGCTAATATACACAACACACGTAGTAAACACACATGTAATTATACTTATTTCCGTTCGCGCGTGCGTTTTGTTTTGTTTGGCGTTGAAGCCACGTGTGCTTATGAAAAGGAAACGCGACGTGCGTGATGACCTGAAAGTTTTTACTTGACTGTCATGCGACAATGAGTATACCCATATGGGTGCACGTCAATCTTAATTATATTGTTTTTTATGGGGGAAAAGGAAGACCTTATACATCATAACTAACTGTACTCTCTCCATTCAAAATCACTGTTTCGAATATGTGTGTCATATACAAGACGATATACTTTCGAATTTGTGAAAATTATACTAAACAGTTGATTCATACTTCTTTATAAGGTAAAATCATATCACAAGATGAGTATGTATACACCGTTCGATTAATATTTTAGTTATTTTTTTTCTTTTCTTCTAGAAGGACCAGAAATTTTGTTTACATAACTATTCCATTGGATACTGTAATTTTTGTGTATAAAATAACATAACGAGATTGACAATATACTAGGCAGTAAGAAAAAAATGACTATTTAAAAAAAGTAAGAACATGTATTGTTTTCTAAGGTAAGAAAACTTTTTACAGGATGTAGGGTGTGTCAGAAATAAACTGTTCTCTCCCAAAATTGTGCAAGATATATTTCTCTTTATTTATTCAATAACATTCGTTCATTCGTGGAAATTTTCAGATAATTCTTAATAATAATGTTCCAAACTTTAAAAAAAATTCTCTAAATTGCTGTTCTGTTGAGAAAAAAATACTATCGATTATTTCCAGAAGCGCTACATAAAAAAAGTTTTACAGTTAGTTAAAATCAAAGAAAATCAATATAATCTAGATATTTTTGTCAAAACTTCTATCTTTTTCGTCAATTTAAGTTTAAATGTTACATCTTCTTAAGTTATTAATTTTTTCGTATGGGCAAATAGACTCACGCAGATGTATCAAGGTTTACATCTTTACAAGTATTTCAATTCAATTTTAACCTTTTACTTTGTCGTTTTCCAAATTTTCATGTAACACAGTATTTAAAAGTTGGAGTTATATGCAAAAGTGAAAAAAAAAATGTTCAAAAGAACTTTGAAATGATACTCTCGCTAGTATGTGAGCGAATATGATTTACAAGATTGTGTTTTTCAACCTAAGATTTATTGCACTTGTGGCATCTAAAGAGTTAACCGCTGCTGTAAACAATAGTATACCATTTTAAACTACGCATACAAACAAGTGATATATTTATATTTTACTTGCACATGATTTTTTTGTGTCAGTGTGAACTTGGTGTGTTTATTCAGATACAAAAGACTTTTCGCAATCGTAGGATTATTCTTGTATTGTGATAAACGTGCGCATCGATATAAGATTGTCGAGAAAAATATTTGCCTCAAATTTTGTGTGTTGGCTCTTTGTCAGTATGAATAAGAATGTCTTTTAATATTTCAGATTTAGAGAGAAAAGATTTACCGCAATCGTTGCATTAAAAGTACCGATGTTTCTTGTTATGAATTAGAGTATGCGATTTTAGATGAGACGATTGATTGAAAGATTTGCCGCAAATTTCACAATTAAACGGTTTTTCGCCTGTATGGATGCGAATATGCTTGTTTAGATTAGCAGTTTGACTAAAAGTTTTGCCACAAATTTGGCATGAAAATGGCCTTTCGCCTGTATGGATGCGAATGTGCTTTACAAGTTCTTGTTTTTGAGAAAAGTTCTTACGGCAATAGTTGCATTGAAAGTACCGATCTTTCTTACTATGGAGTAAAGTATGCGATCTTAGATGAGACGATTGATTGAAAGATTTGCCGCAAATTTCACAATTAAACGGTTTTTTGCCTGTATGGATGTGAGTATGCTTGTTTAGATTAGCGGTTTGAGTAAAAGTTTTGCCACAAATTTGGCATGAAAATGGCCTTTCGCCTGTATGGATGCGAATGTGCTTTACAAGTTCTTTTTTTTGAGAAAAATTCTTACGGCAATAGTCGCATTGAAAGTACCGATCTTTCTTATTATGGATTAGAGTATGCGATTTTAGATGAGACGATTGATTGAAAGATTTGCCGCAAATTTCACAATTAAACGGTTTTTCGCCTGTATGGATGCGAATGTGCTTGTTTAGATTAGAGGTTTGAGTAAAAGTTTTGCCACAAATTTGGCATGAAAATGGCCTTTCGCCTGTATGGATGCCAATGTGTTTTACAAGTTCTTTTGTTTGAGGAAAACTCTTACGGCAATAGTTGCATTGAAAGTACCGATCTTTCTTATTATGGACTAGAGCATGTGATTTTAGATTAGATTTTTGAGTAAAAGATTTATTGCAAACTTCACATTTATACAGTTTTTCGCCTGTATGGATGCGGATATGCTTATTCAATTCACATACACTAAAAAATGATTTGACGCAATAATTGCACGTAAAGCGACGCACTTTGGGCTTATTCACTTTCATTGTAGGTGTCAACATTCAACGTTTTCTCAGCACGTATCGTTGTATTCCGTGAGTACAGTATGTATCTAAATACTCTGGTAAGACGAAGCACAGCCCTGAAAAAAATTAAAATTTAATTATACGTTAAATGTTTCGCTGCCAAGTATAGTGGGAAATAAATGCTCATATTTATAATAAACGGGCATGAAGTCTTTTAAAAAATATATTAAATTATTTTTATTTCTGTATGTGTCATACAGAAATAGAGCGAGTTTAATTAGCCTATTGCCATATCGGTTAATAAAAATTGATACTTTGAAACTAACTGTTGAATGATAATAGATGTTCTTAAAAGTAGAGAAAATAAAATTCTTGTGTAAGAAATAAATTTTTTATTTCTCCATATCTACGGTGAAAATACGACATTTCCCTTAATTTCAAAAAGGAAAGGTGCAACATAATTTCTTAGGTAAAAATGCAACCTCTGCTCATTTTGAAGGTATTTTGGTACCCTCTGCGTCCAAATTGCCTCTCGAGACAAAGGCAGTTGTAATTTTTTACTCAATGGGAAATGTACGTGGTAAGTCAATCTGAGCAGAGATGCGTCTAATTTATAATTCTTATGAGTATAGGAGGCCCAGTTATATACAAAAATCTTGAAGTTAGTTTTGAAGATACCCTCAACTATAGGCCGGGATGCTTCATAAACTGGCTTAGTAAAGGACCTGGCCTTCTGTACATATGTGGAACTGAATTCTATATACTCTGGTCATAGTCCCACCAGAGATATGGAAATAAAATTGTTTATATAATGTGTATATTATGTAATGTAAATAATAGTAATATTTAATAATTTTTTGCCCAAAAACAATAATTATTTAATGCGATAAACAATATGACTTAGTTTTAAAAATTTAAATTGGATTATGACAAATATGACTTAATTAATTTCAATAGAAAGTTTAAAACTTATCTTAAAAAAAAAGTCTTCATAGGAGTGCATGAAAAAAAATTTGTATTAGCTTGCCATTGTAACTATCAAGTATAATTATGTCTTTGTATACGTCGTGTATATCTAGGTAAGCTGAATGTACTCCCGTTTTGGGGCGATCAGTTTTTTTAATTTCATACAATTACTCGAACTTACGATTTTTACGGGAAAACAGTTGATGTTTGGCTTTATTTATCTTCTTGAACAGTGACGCAAAATATTTTTAACTCCATATGCGTTGTGTCGAACGACTACAGTAGTACTAGGTTCACCTTGTACACAAAGAACTCTTGTATGTACACCACAATATTTCCAACTCTCTTCTTTGTCTAATGTTTTGGTTTTATATTCGTAATGTATCTATACACATTTTGTACAATTGTACCGTTATTGTATGTAAACACCACGAGCATCTTACAAGATGTAAATCGATTTAATGTTTCGTTTTGTTTCTTGCACTGTACACTAACTGGAACAAATTTGGCGATGCGAAAAAGGCTTCAACGTTTGTGAAATAACTAAAGTAATTCAACTGTAATGAACTTGCCTTTCACAGTCTGAGTTCGACCTTACCGATTCCAACTTGGTAATGTAAATGATTCAAGAGTAAGCCGGAACTTTTCGTTTGCAAATTTAATGTCACACTCTAGGGAGCTATGAACGTCTGAGCTAGATGAATCACTGAACGTGCAGGAAATCACGTTGCACGAGACTGGCCGTGTCATATTTTAAAGGAGAATGACAAGCTCTACACTTGTCATAGCCACAAAGTATCGTTACTTACCTTAGAAGCAACAATATTTTCCACTGTATACTCTGTGTTTGAGTTTTCGAGAAATTTAAACTTTGACTATCCATATTTGGGGGGTCTCTGACTTCAAACTTCGAAATACGACGTTCCCAAGCATGGACTATATATTTTAGCGGTTCGTCGAACTTCTTGAATTATTTAATACCCAAGATTGTATAAATAGCGGTAGATTTGCGTAAAAACATAATTCTTAAACTCACGAAGGACTAACAGCTCCAACATTGAGTGATATAGAAATACAAAATTTTATTTTCCAGTTCTTGAACGGAATTTTCAATTTGACTCTTATGTCGTACAAGCATTAAGTTTCTCTTGTTCATCATTTGAAATTTAAAAAACTAATTTTCAAAATAAATATTATTTTGCCGAATACACACAGAGCGAGAGAAGAGCTCGTCTTGTAACGCAAAGAGAAAAATTAAAGAGCTGCAGTCGTCCGTGTTAAAACTCGGCGGGCTTTCACTTTCGCCCCGAGTCCTGTAACATTATGCGCTGCGCCACGTAACTTATAAAGTGTACGGATCAGCGATTGCGCGCACAAGTGGATTTTCGATTCGAGGGATCGGTCATGGGTAGGTATAAGTAATACATCAGAGTGGCACGTCGACGGTGACGAGGACGAACAGATGAGCCTTTATACTCGCGGGGATCAGTGCACCTTCACTTTTTCCATTCAAAAGACCCTCCTTTCTTTCAAGTATATAGCGAGAGGCTAATGCTGCACCTCTATTTTGGCCCCGGGGTCGCGAACTGCCGAAAGGATGAACCTGCGAGGGCACGAATGTATACGTACATACGTGTATAACTATATACGGTGCTAAAATCGGTAGAGCTTCTTTGCTCTTTTTTGTCATTGCTAATTCAAGTACATATATATTATGTTCGAAATATTGGGAAATTCAACGCTTGGCTTGCTCTAGTAGTGAAACTATGGTACTTATAGATCATACGGCTATACTTACTTTTTGTTCGTTGTGTAAAACGATACTCGTTATTAATGCTGCCTTTCTTTTTTTTCTTTTTCTTTTCTTTTGCTTCCTCGTTCAGTTGAAATGTGGGTGATGGTGGGTTGCACGATGTATCCGAGTGACAGAGGTAAGTATTACCAAGCTGATTTAAATAAGTCCTTTTTAATGGATTCCAGTGAAGTTTCTTCATTTTTTTTTTTTTTTTTTTTTTTTTTTTTTTTTTTTTTTTTTTTTTTTTTTTTNCCCGGTGGCAGGGCCGCGGCTCCCAACATACCTGCAAAGACAATGGGACGACTGTCAGTTGGGCTTTCTGAAGATTCGGCTTTATCTTTTTTTTTTTTTTTTTTTTTGATACTCGTGTAATAAGGATCTGTACGGATTGTGAAAAAATAACAACTCGATACTACTTAATAGAATTAGAAAGTGTCTCTGTTACTTTAAACTATCACGTTTTCGTAATACTCGAATATTCAAGTTATGCGTGATGGCTCGCGATAATTTTTTTTTTTACAGTGTGCTCTTTTGCAACATTTAGATATTTTCGTTTCATTAGTACTATGATTTAGGCTGACAGCATTAAAAGAAATATTTAGGAGTAACGCAATAAGTACGAAGTGATGTAAAATAATTTTACCGTAGGTAAGCTTCTTTTTGTACATAAAGCAATAATAAAACAAAATGAAAATTGTCGTTATTAAAACAAAATTTACTACAGGATAAAAAATACTTGACACGGTGGTTGCTAGGATAAAAGGTCACAAGATTAAAGAAAATAGACGACGCATACGGAATCATTACCTTTTTTGCAATTGCAAAATAAATGAGACTTATATTAAGCCTTTGATTGTCAGATGTAAGGTGACGGGCAATGACTTCGTAATACACCGCATATGGCGTCATCTCGCAACAAATCAATTTATTTATTCGTCACGTCAATAAATACACGTTCAAGTGCAATACACTAAATCAATCAATCAATCAATCAATCAAACGCTCTCTAAAATTTTCTGTCAAGCGTTCTCTCATCAATCGTGCCGTTTATCGATTGGTTTATTTTCACTTGATCTCCTTTATTCTGAAAATAATTAAATGATCCGTTTTGTGTGTGTGTGTGTGTGTGTGTGTGTGTGTGTTTATGTGTCCGTCTGCAGAGTTCATAAAAAATTTGTAAAGGTGATATTAGTAGAAATTAAAATAAAAAAAAAGGATAAAGGCAATTTAAGAGAGAAATTAGCCATATTTTAGTTTCTGTTCACGCGAATATAAGTGTATTTTGCATCGAGTCGTGTTTAAATAAACGTGTCTCCGTGTGAGTGTTATTAATTTGTCACTTGAATTTTTTATTTCATTTTTACTTTAATTTTCTAATGTGAAAATGTAAATATATGAGCGTTATTATAATAGATAAGTATAGCAGCTTTTACAGATCAACATACTTGAGGCTTACAATAATAATATTGTTTCTCAGTCCAGCCACGCGTCTCCATGGACCGCGAGGCTATACATTTTACTTTGCTCATTCCCGTCTTAACTGCACTGCGTGTATGTACAAACGAACAAAAAATACACGGCATCGCTTCAAATTTACAAATCAGCATACTGAGCTAGATGCCGGCAAATTCATCAGTTTGCCAAGGCAGTAGGTTTTATTTAAAAAAATTTTTATATCTATTAAAAAGTTAGTAATAAATTTTCTTAGCTAATTAATTATTCATACAATACATTTATACAATTAAATTACTACGACGGAAATCAATGTTACTCGTCTAAAATTACAGTCTATCGTATTAGTTGATAGTTTAAATTCTTAATTTTAATTTGTAGAAAGAAATTAATGCGTACGATAAAACAGCAAACAAAAGAAATCGGACGGGCTACGCGCTTCTATGATTTTTTTTTTTTTTTTTTTCTCATATTGACTTGTTTTCAATAAATTACTTTTTTTTTGTGTCGCTTAATTAAAAATTAAAAATAGCCTCGAGACCCTACAGACGGTAGGACCAAACAATCGCCTGCCTGAAGTGGCAAGGGACCGGTTAGGTCCAACAGCGATTATAGCTGTGATTGGTTGAAACAATATGCAGTGGCTCTCGCGTGCCCGCCGCCTATATGTTAAACAACACATACGTCTCTGTATTACTACGCGAATGATGTTCAGGTAATGTATGTACACATTAAATTACAAACGTTATAATGATTATCCTCAACGAAGCCGCGTTTTTGATGACGGCAACAATTAAGGATTAGTAAAAAAAAAAAAAGCAAGTAGGCGGCGAACAGCTAACAGCCCATAAGAGATAATAGAGGTAATCCAAAATCGAGCTTTCACTTGGATATATTCCACAGATATATTCTTAATCTATTCCGAAAGAAAATAGTCGACAGATAACCAATAATGTGTGACACTCAATAATATATATGTATAACAGAATCTTACTACAAGTCCAAAAAATTAATATGTTAATACAACTGATCGCGCCGACGCTCGCGCTATTTAGGATACATATCAATAATATTTATAAACTAGTGATTGCGCGAGTAATAAGTTTAGCACGTATTGCATTGTAGGTGTGCTTGTATGAATTTTAGAATATCATCGGAAGCAAGAGCGTAAAACGAGATAACGATAACGCGAGTGTCGAGCGACAAAGAGATTTTTGATAATTTATTATTATTCTTATCATTATCGTTACTTTAATAATAATAATAATAATAATAATAATAATAATAATAATAATAATAATAATAATAATAAATCTAATAATATAAACAATGCGTGGATTTAAATACGTACAGGTATGGCGCGGTTCGCTGTATTGCTTTCAAAGTGTCGATTGAGAGCGTGGACTATNTTAAATTTATATCAATTCATATGTTATGATTTGCATCTATTGATATCCGCACAAAAGTATTTAATGTTTGTGTACTCGATGAAATGTACAATCTTTCAAAAATTTTATTGAAAAAAGTTGAAGAAAGTTCGACGAAAAAATACATCGAGAAAAATATTACAACTTTCATCCAAATCAATCTATATAGGAAAAGAGTTACAATGAATAGATATCAGTGTATAATTAAAAAATACATGCAAATATGGAGTGCATTCAAAACCAAAGAACAGTCAAAACGAAAAATGACCGAAATTTCAACAGACTACACACACAAACGTATAAAAAAGGCAAGTTGTATTAAGAAATTCTCATGGAATCAAAAAACAACTTTTTGAGTTCAGCTGTCACCCAAGACTTCGCTTCCTACCTTTTTTTTATTTTTTATTTTTTTTTTACTTTGTTATCTATCTTAAGAATTAAAAAAAAAAAGTTTTTTTTCTCAAAAATATACTTATAAGTGTGTTCTAAAAAAAAATGTCTAAAAGGCACAAACCGAGCACAAGACGTGTGTCGAGGCCGCCGAAAGCAGAGCTATGCCAAAGTTCAGTGGGAAAAAAATAGCAAGAGATTCACAGGGAGAGAAAGGCTAACATGTATATCATACGTGTAAAAGTTGCGCATGCAATCTAAAAAAGATTACTGCAGGGACTTGGGTACCGCGTAACGTTCGTTAAGTGTCAGTGCTGCGCGATGGCTATGAATAATTTGATCAAATATTTAACATAAAGTGGAAATACTCCGGAAATGTCATAAATGGTGGTCTAGGCATTATTCGTAAACAATAAATAATTATTTGATCGATTGAAACTGGGTGGTTCGCGATATAATAATCTCAAACTGTTTCGAATCGAAGATTTTTTACTCTCTCAAAATAAGCATTTCGTATGATTTTCAAGAGACTCGGAATGAACTTGTGGCATTGTTCTGCCGTGCTAACACCACGTTCAGCTCGCCTCGCATCGATGATGCTACTTTGCTACTGCTGATGCTTATGTGTGCACAAAATCAGCGCGTAACAGAAACACGTAATAATATATATGTATAGATATAGATAAATACCAGCATTATATAATAAACAATTACAAAATAGGCTCAACCCATCCGAGTTAGTGTTAATAATATGCGTATATATGTATTTTAGACGACTATAGAAACAACAAATAATAATAATAATAATAATAATAATAATAATAATAAATCTAATAATATAAACAATGCGTGGATTTAAATACGTACAGGTATGGCGCGGTTCGCTGTATTGCTTTCAAAGTGTCGATTGAGAGCGTGGACTATTTGATTTTTTTGTTCATTATTCTTTTCGCTTCTCAATGTATCTCTGTCGTGTTTTGCTTTTTGTGTCATTCTGAGGAACAGAAATTTTATACGGTCAAAGAGAAGTGACACTCGTATTTTTTTCTAATTTTTTGTTTTTGTTTTTATTTTATTTTTATTTTTCGTGGGGAGAAAAAGAGAAAATTAAAAGGGTGGCGTAGGACGATGCTCGTATGTAGTCTCGATCGTTTGAAATAATGTCATTCTTTGCAAAATAATCCTTCGTGTTTTTGTTTGCATGATATTTCAACTTTCGAGGAGGATGCTTTTATTGAGAAAATATATAGAGCTAGTGTACGATCGAAACTAAGGCCAAAGAATAAGAGAGAAAAAGTATATTACGTGAGTCCAGTGCCGAGAGTCGCTGTGCTTTTCTTTTTTTCTCTCACTCAAAGTTATAATATAGCAATTTATGAGTATTTTTTTTTTTTTTTTTTCATATTCATAATCGTTTTGTAGTTATTTTTTTTCCTAAGTTTAAATTTATTTTACTCTACGCTCTGTACTTACCACTAACTCACACGCTGGCAAACAATTGTTCCTTGCAAGGAAAAGAACTTTGTTTTTCTTGCAACGAGTAAGTCCACCGACATGTTTTTCTTTTCAACTAAAATTGAGTTTTAGCTGTTTCACTTAAAAATTATCATAATATGCATTTTTAAACAACTATTATGAAAATTAGTAAAATATGTTAATAGGTACTACTACTTCAGCAAACTATGATATAAAGCGCTTGAGGCTTGCAAAACAAAAAAGAGCTGTTTAGTTGTGCTCGCAATTTGAACAAGGTGTTTTTGTCTTTGTCAATATAATCCAAGACCACACTATATTTTCTTTCCAACAACCATAAAACAGTCAGTGATATTTTTCAAAGAATAAGAAAAAAATAAATAAATAAATAAAACGTCTAGTGATTACAATGCACTCGGCGATGATGGAAAAAAAATAAGAATGCTTGACTTTCCTCTACACTGTGCACAACATATACATAGCCATTCATTGATAATTACATACCTCGCAGCAATTCGTAAATATCTCGGCACATTGCTTCCTTAAAGTAATCGTAAAAAGTATATGTACATACACTGTGAGCACAATCACTAAGGATGAATAAAAAAAAAAAAAAAAAAAAATAGCAGGATAGAAAAAAACGTTAACAACAACGTTTTCAACAAAAACAAAAAAAAAAGTCACATGAAAACTGATTACTCTAGCCTCCGTCTATTGTGAATAGTATATCGATGAACAAACTCGGTGCAAGTTGCATAAGAGGTAGTTTTTCTTTTTGCTTTTTTTTTTCATACGTTTGGTGAAACATAAAAATTATATATATTAATCGACAGACAAACCTGAGACGATTGCAAACCCATCAAGCATTACTGTTAAATGTTAACAGTGAAACAAGTTGGGATGCATCACCTTTGCGTCTTACATTATTGTCTCTCCGAGACGGGATATAATCAGTACAGCTGAGAGAATCGAGCTAACAATCATTAATTTGCCGTGAGGATTGAGACAAATTTGAGTAAGTACTGGTGTAAAATTGTCGAGGATGTTAAAAAATTGTAGAGCAAAGAAAAAATGTATTTTCAAACTGCAAAAAATGGCCAATAAAATACATGCCACTCGAAACTCTCAGACATATTGACGTGGCGTGTAATATTATAGTCAATATCGTCAACTGTTTCGATAATTAATAATTATATTATAAAGTAAAACAAATGAGTTTTGCTAACTTCGGATTGTATCTTCTGTTGTGCCGATGCGATGCGATGAGATGACGAATGGCAGCGTTGGCTTCAGTGTTGGGGGTTCAAGCATATGCTAGGTTCTTCACATGAGTTTACTTTTTTTTTCAGTGTAATGTTTGTTTTATTTTTGAAACACCGATTACAACATAACAAAATAAGAATCTTCACTCTCACTCTGCTTTGAAAGTTCTCGCGCATCAGTTCTGTTGTCGTTGACTTGCCTTTTATCTCTTTTTCTCCCCTTGCTCTTTTTTTTTTTTTTTTTTTTTTTTTTTTCTTAGGTGCCGATTTTTAATTTCAAAGATTGTAAGATTTGTAAGTCTGAGAGCAGCAAAGCATTACAATGACCATAAAATTACGTTTAGCATAGTCACGTCAATTTATTCATATGTATAATTCACTAAATGTAATTCCAAACTCCTAATCTAGTTGACTTCTGCTATTAAAATGTTCGAAAAAACTTTATTATCTGAACTTGCACCGGTTGAAGGAATGAAAAAAAAAAAGACTTTACTGGCAGAAACAACAAGCTCGTATTTTTTTCACGCCATAACGTATTAAGTCGTCGTCAAAGTTTTACTCGTACTGACCATATAATATCTACAATATCAAAGACCATGAGAGACTATTTGATTATGTTACAAAAAGTCCGTGATTTATTGCAATGGATGGATTTGAAGTAATGCGTTGGAACAAAAGTACTCAAGGGAGATTTCTCGCTACGACAAATTATATATGTATATATATGTATATATATCATACGGCACGATCTTTGCTACAACCGGGTGAGGCAAACGAGGCAAGAAAGAAAAGGGAAAGAGCGCAACGGGGGGGGGGGGGGGAGCGAGCAGGAGAGAAAAAAGAGGCAGACTCGTCTCACACCAGTTGTCTGTTCATTGTTATTACCCTACTGTATGCGTTCAATTCACTCTCGAACGAAAATAAACGTGTTACGTGTACATGCGAGTCCTTGTACCAGTAGCATCAGTAGCAGTGCAAGTCTTCCTCGCTGCGCTCCGATTTTCTACCGACGATAGTATAGGTACATATCCATGTCCTTTCCCGTTTTGCTCCCTTGCGTCGTACATGTACGTAAAGGTATATGGATATTGATCGGAGGGACGAAAACGATCCCTCTTTCTCTTCATAGGGTCTCTAAGGCCGGGCCCACAGCACAAAGTGCAACGGAGACGGTGGCGGTTGTCCGGCTGCAACTGCGGAGCTCGTGGCCAAGGTGGGCCTACCGTCCGCGATCATCGGGGGTGATCATCTGAAACGTGGATGGTGCATCATGGGCGCGAGCATCGGCGATCCGGGGAAGCCCATGGGGCCAAAAGCCGGATGCATTGCACCCGGTGGCAGGGCCGCGGCTCCCAACATACCTGCAAAGACAATGGGACGACTGTCAGTTGGGCTTTCTGAAGATTCGGCTTTATCTTTTTTTTTTTTTTTTTCCTTATTGCTTGCTTGCTTTGTTCTTGGTTCGTTTCAAGATCGCTTTGATCTAAAAAAAAAAATAAATAAAAAAATACCGAGCCGAAACGTCCGCTTTTTGTGGCATAATGTCGGATGCACACGATACTCGTCGTGGCTTTTTTCCTTCATTTTAAGGGGGTGTGAAAGGTTTTTTTTTTTTTTTTAATGTCATTTTCAACAAATCAGGGCGCGCTATCACTTGTTTCTCCACGTCTTGTAGTGATCTAGTATTCAATCATTATTGATAATACATGAAGAAGTGAAAAAGTAAATTATTGATACTTGACAATTATAGTAGATTAGTATACAAAACGATGAAAAAAATGGTTTTTCAATGATTTGTCAGAAAAGGACAAATTAGTCAACGGCAAACGAGATGGGACGGTAAATATATGCACACACACGAATATCGAACGAACATTAACATACAGAATCAACAAAATAAATCAATAATAAAGTTACCATAAACGTGAATAAAATAAAAAAAGTCAACATTCCACACCCTCTTGGTCAAAAGAAATACTTTGCGTTCGTGTTGTTTAAAGTTTTTGATTTGTACTTACGTCGCGCGATCGCATCGACAAAACGATGCAAATCTTCCTTTCGGTCGACTCCTTGAGGTCGACCGTCTGCAACATCGTTTTGAAGATGCGTCGACGCTTTTGGGAAGGGACTCGAGTGACAGCCGATTTTTTTTTTACAAATGCAATTTTTTTTTTTTTTTCATTAAATTTATATCAATTCATATGTTATGATTTGCATCTATTGATATCCGCACAAAAGTATTTAATGTTTGTGTACTCGATGAAATGTACAATCTTTCAAAAATTTTATTGAAAAAAGTTGAAGAAAGTTCGACGAAAAAATACATCGAGAAAAATATTACAACTTTCATCCAAATCAATCTATATAGGAAAAGAGTTACAATGAATAGATATCAGTGTATAATTAAAAAATACATGCAAATATGGAGTGCATTCAAAACCAAAGAACAGTCAAAACGAAAAATGACCGAAATTTCAACAGACTACACACACAAACGTATAAAAAAGGCAAGTTGTATTAAGAAATTCTCATGGAATCAAAAAACAACTTTTTGAGTTCAGCTGTCACCCAAGACTTCGCTTCCTACCTTTTTTTTATTTTTTATTTTTTTTTTACTTTGTTATCTATCTTAAGAATTAAAAAAAAAAAGTTTTTTTTCTCAAAAATATACTTATAAGTGTGTTCTAAAAAAAAATGTCTAAAAGGCACAAACCGAGCACAAGACGTGTGTCGAGGCCGCCGAAAGCAGAGCTATGCCAAAGTTCAGTGGGAAAAAAATAGCAAGAGATTCACAGGGAGAGAAAGGCTAACATGTATATCATACGTGTAAAAGTTGCGCATGCAATCTAAAAAAGATTACTG